TACCAGCTATTTATAGGCAATGGGGAGGGGGCCGGGGCGGCCGTAGCGGGGCATTGTGGCCATGTGGAAGAAGCAGCCGTCCCTGCGTCGCGACGCCGCCTTGGCTCGCTCACCCTCCTCCTCCTCAGCTGCTTCGGCCTCGGGTAAGGGATCGCCCTGCCGGGCAGCGGGCGCTTGCCTCTCGCCTTCCCCATTTTCTTCTGCGTGCTGCTTTTGGCTCCTTTCCCCCGCCATTTTCCCTGCTCGCACCCACCCTTGGAGCGAGAACGGGGGGCTTTTCCCCCAACCAAGGTGGTTTTTGGGAACAGGGACCGGTTTTGTCCCCTCCCCATGGGGACCTGGCTCAGTCCCCGCTCGCAGCCTGACTCACGCTGGTGTCCGGTGACAGTGGCCGGAGCTTGGGGACAGACAGGCGATGCTGGGAGGACGCTGGGGTCCATCTCAGCTTGCAGCTCCAAACCCAAATGCAGCCCCCGCAGCATCCCAGCCAAGCAGCTGAGGGGGCTGCGGGCTCTTCTTTAGACCAAAAAAAAAAAAAATCTAAAATTGAGGGGTTTTGGCATTTTATTGTTTGTTTGTTTGTTTTTTTTCCCTGCAGGGGACTCGGAGGAGGAGGACACGGGTTTCCTGGAGGTCACCGTCTCTGACATGAAGCACCCACCGCCGGAGCTGGGCCCCATGCCCGAGGGGCTGAGCCCGCAGCAGGTCGGTGCGGGGCAGGTTAGGGGTTTGGAGGGGGGCACGGCTTCCCCTTGGTCCCGTGATTGAGCAATCGGGGAAAGGGCGAGTCAGCAGAAAGTGATGCTGCCGCGTCAGCACTTCTGCAGCGCGCTGTGCCCGCGTTGCCCCCCTCCCGGTCCCTTTTTTCGGGGTTAGGGGGGACCACGGCTGAGCCCCAGCATCGTTGCAGGTGGTACGGCGGCACATCCTGGGCTCCATCGTCCAGAGCGAGCGGAGCTACGTGGACTCCCTGAAACGCATCCTGCAGGTGGGGGACCCCCTTGTTGGGGGGGGGGGCGGGCAACACAGGCAGAGGCGTGTG